AGGGTGGATCACTTGAGATCAGGAGTTTGAAACCAGCCTGGCTAACATGGTGAAATGCCATCTCTACTAAAAATATGCGTGTCGGTAGTTCTAGCTACTTGGGAGGCTGAGGCAGGAAAATCGCTTGAACCCGGGAAGCACAGGTTGCAGTGAGTCGAGATGGTGCTACTGCACTTCAGACTGAGTGACAGAGCAAGACTGTGTTTCAGAAAGCAAACTTAAGACAGTCATCATCAAAAGAGGTAACAACAAAAACATATAGACATCAGGAGACGGGTCTTGAGTCTACATGTGGTAGCATCTGTGGGTACTCTCAGAAACTTGAGGAACATTAGAGGTGGACTAATGCCTGGCAATCATGCTGGCACAAGCTCATGCACACAAGCAATGGTTCCTGGAAGAATCATTGGTTCTGTTATATAGTTTGTCATTGATAAAGCCAGGCCATTTGTGGTATAATTGTTTAATGCCTGACTACACTCTAAGGTCTCCCACTGTTAGCTTCTCTTTTATTTTTCTCTAATTTTTTTGACTAACAGGATATAAATAAAAATAAATGATTAAGTATACACTCAATAAGTATGTGTCAAAGAAAGGGGAAAGTGTTAGGTAGATGAGAGAGGTAATATTGTACAGTGAATTATGACTTTGAATAGCTGAATAGACACAAGCAAATTACCTAACCTCTCTCTGCCTCCATTTCTTCATTTGTGAATTGGGTCTTATAAAAATGCTTAGCACATAGAATTGTTGGAAGAATTAAATCTTTTAATGTATGTAAAATACTTATATCAGTGCCAGTCATATAGAAAGCTCCAAACGTGACAGTTATTAGTATTATAATTGTTACTATTTTCATTATTACCAATATTTAATAAAATAATTATAGAAAATAATTGGCTAGAAATTGGTTAGTAGTGAAAGTTGAAACTCTTATTTTCTAAGACATTTTCATTAATTTTCACTATTTTTTTATTTTTATGTGTTTTATATTTTAGAGGCAATGTCTCGCTATGTTGACCTGGCTAGTCTCAAACTCCTGGCCTCAGGCGATCTTTCTGCCTTGGTCTACCAAACACTGGGGTTATAGGCATGAGCCACCACCCCCAGCCATACTACTTTTTCTTTGGTTCAAAATAATGTCACCTATGTTTCAACTATTCTGATTTTATTATACATATACAAAATTGTGTATGGAATGATATGTTACCTTACCTTATCTTTTCATCTCTCTTATGTATTTTAATGCCTAGAGATGTCCTCAAATTTGCTATTTCCTTAAATGCTGGGCTTTTTCTCATGCTTCCTTTGCATTCCTTTTTGTTTCTCTTATGTTGTTGAATGGAGGGTTTGCACAAATTATACTTGTAAACTCACAGGAAGTGAGTAAAGAGAAAATTATTATAAAATTTATATAATGATTATTTATATCTATGTCACTAATTCAGGTTTAGCAATCATAACTTATACCATTGCATTAGTAATACTTACTGATCAAATAGAGAATTTGATGATTTTTCTCTTTATGTCTGAAAGTTTCTCTCTCACTGTACTATATTAGATAAAACCAAACTGCAAGGGCTAGCAAGCCAGAATGCACTTCTTGGTTTTGGGAGAAAGAATGATGAACATTATATAGATGACACTTATTTTCTATCCATGTATGGATGTCCTGATGCAGAAGATTCCAGTTTGCTTGGAAAATGACATTGTCATGCTCCCAGCATACTCCCTGAAGAGACTGACTTTATATAGGCAGAGTTGGCAGTTCTTCGTATTATTATAAAACTTGTGATATTTGAGAAAGTTCAGATTTGATCAAAACATCTCCCCAATAATTATAACACCTCAAATTTCACCATTGATTTTTGTCCTAGGACATGATGAATTCTGCACCCCCAACCCTTTAAAATGTAAAGAATAAAGAGAGAGAAAGTGAGTTAATACATATGTTAAATAGTTATCCAGTTGTTCCCTAAAGTGACCAATACTTGGGAGTGAAATGCAATGGAGGTAGATGATAAAGAAGAAAGAATCTGGGCCTGTGGGTGAGGCAACTTGGTTTCTAATTTTGAGACTCCCACTTCCTTAGTAGACAACTTTTCCCAAATGCATTTACTGCTTTTAATGTTATTTGCTCATACATAGAGCACCTCTGGGTGCAAAATGGTGCCTGGGCTAGCATGGCTTTCAGTCTTGAGAAAATTAAGGCCCATTCAAAAAATGAAGATGAGCCCGTGTCAAAAGTCAAATGCTAGGGCGATGCAATAGATGATTCTCAAATGACTGGTAAAAGCATATAGTATTTAAAAGGATAGAGGATCAATATGAACAGAAGGATTATAGAGATAGGATCTGAGAAATCTGTGAATTATTCTCTGAGGTCTGGGAAAGAGTATATTGTGAGCTAGTAAAATACATTTATGAGGTAAGACATTTGGTATAAACTTGGGATACAAACTTTTTATTACTCATTTGAAATAATTATAATGAGGGAATTTAGTTTTATGATCTCATTAAAATTCCTGATAGCTTGTATAGAATCTACACTTCTATCTTCATTCAGTTAGTTAGCCAAAAGTTAGCATTTGCTGTTTAACTCAGGATTTATACAGGAAAGAAATTCTTGGGAGAGCTAGTTGTTTCTCTGTGGTTTAATAATATTTTTTAAAAAGATTCTTTTTAAACAATGCCAAATGAGGCCATCGATTTTTGTTTCAAACTAAATTTTGTTGCAAGCAACTAAAGTCCATTCTCTGATAAAAATGAAGAATTCCCTTTTCAGCTGATAAGGCACAGAGTGTTTATCTTTGGATGGTCATAGAAAGAAGCTGGCTTGGGCTATCCATCTGCTTTTATGAGGTTTTGTTAACACAAAGGGACAATGAGGCTGAAAGTGGTTTTTAACTTAACTGATTCCCCCTTATCATATCTGACATCCTTTCATGAAGGAAAATAAAAGTCAGGTGGATGTTAAATTAGATGCACATTTGTAAAATAAAAACAAATGTGGGAAATGGTAGGTTTCTCCTTTCATTCTCAGGAGCTATATGAGAATGAACGTTGCTTGTGATTTCAACAAATAAAGGTCACTTTATCTCCCTGGCTTTGATGGCATGTGCTTAGCACAGCACATGCGCAAGGAGAGAAACACAGGCATTATTTCCAAATCAATTCATTTAAAAACCCTCCTTGACAATCATCTCAGTGGTCCATGTTGTCTTCCGTAGCCAAAGAGTGTGATATAGTTATTGTGTGGTGAGGGCAAACACCATAGAAGAGGATCTCATTTCCATTCTAACAGTTTGCTCTGGGTTGTACATAGACCTCAAACATTTTTACATGTTAAAAAATTACAATGTTTCAAAACCATTGACTATTTTAATGATAAATTCAGTTTTATTTTGGAAGTGAAATCCATTCTCTGATTATGTGATCGTTGCATGAGTATTTCAGGATGGGAGAAACAACTTCAATGGTTACCTTGTCTATAGTATTAGAATCCCTTCTAAGAATCCTTAACAGGTGTTTCTTCAATACTTGTTTGAACAACTTGACTAAGAGGGAGTCCCTAACCCCAGAGTCATTTGATCCCAATGTGTACAGCTCAGTTTGATAGGCAACCACTCTTTGGCTGAACATTCTCTTAATATACATGGATTAGCAGTAGCTTTTACAACACAAACAGTGCTCTGTCCACATATTAGTGCTTCAAATATTTGAAGAAGTCCTCTTTATTTTATTTTTCTTAGCTTTCTCTTTTATTGACATTATCACCTGCAGTAACTTTTAATGAAGAGACTTGATTTCTAGCCTTCTTATCATCCTGGCTATTCCCCTGTGGATTTGACTTACTATATCAATATTCTTATAAATACTTTATCCAGAACTGAACACTGTAGTACAGATGTGAGCAGATGAATATAGAAAATAGGAAAGCCTGACTTAGGTAGTATTTTATTAATGTAAATTAATGCTGGTTTACATAACAGTCATATTGTGTGACTTGTAGTTAGCAAAAGTCTTGACATTTGTTTCCAATCTGATCTGCTGATATGTACTTTCAGATACGTAAAAGAATCTAAGTATAAGAGTTAACATTATTTCTACTTAAATTTTAATTTGTCTTTTGGGCCCTACATTTCCTACTTACATGTGCTGTATACTTATGACCCTGCCTTCTAGGACTTTAACTATAGCATCGATTGCAAATGTCACAGGCAATTGTCATAGACAGAATTTTCAAATAAAATAAATCACTATATATTTCCTTGTCAATAGTCATAGCAATGTGCTCCCATCTTGTGGACTTCCTCTGCTTCCTTAATCTTCCCTAAGACTTTAGGCTTTTCCAGTCATGTTTCAGCTCAAGTCATGGACAGACTGGAGGGAGCTTCAAGAACTAAGACTTGCCCCTTTCTCCTCAACTCAGAGACTTTGGTAAGTATTCTAAGTATTCAAATAGAAAGTAAAATAAGGAAAGGGATGAATTTAATTCCACTACAGCTCTTAAGACAAATAATTATTAACAGTTCCAAGTAATGAGATTAAGTTTTGAACAAACATTGGAATTATATATTGTATTAGTCCATTTTCATACTGTTATGAAGAAATACCTGAGACTGGGTAATTTATAAAGAAAAAGAGGTTCAACGTACTCACATTTCTACATGGCTGGGGAGGCCTCACAATCATGGCAGAAGGCAAAGGAGGACCAAAGGCACATCTTACATGGTGGCAGGCAAGAGATAGTGTACAGAGTAATTGCCCTTTATAAAATCATCAGATCTCATAAGATTTATTCACTATCACCTCCCACCATGTTCATCCCATGACATGTAGGGATTATGAGAACTATAATTCATGATGAGATTTGGGTGGGGACACAGTCAAACCATTTCATGTATCCCAATTAAAGTCCTCCTCCTCCCCCTCCCCTCTCCCCTCCCTTCCTCCTCCTCCTCCTCTTCCTCCTTCTTCTTCCTCTTCTTTTTCTCCTCCTCCTCCTCCTCATTCTTCTTCTTCTTCGTCTTCGTCTTCGTCCTTCGTTCTTCTTCTTTTTCAAATGAGGTGTTTAGAAAACTACTTATCACTTCTGGAGTGTTGGGAGAAAAATGGGAAGACCAATGGCTTGGGGCAGGACCTGCATGGTGAAGGAGACAGGCTATGTGCAAATTGCCAGATTGGGGAGGGCCAAGAGTCTCAGTAACAGAAATTCAGAGGGGTTCAGAGTGCTGTAGAGAGCTCTGAAACACAACGTTCAGGAACAAGGTTAAATTCAGCCATGTTCTAACTTTGTCAGGAACTAAACATTGTGAATGAGATCTTAAATAAATTCCATAATTTTTTGAGATCTCCTTTCTCTGAATTGTTTTTATGAAACTCCTCACTTTAGATGCTCTTAATTAGTACCAACAGGACCATTATATTGTATATTTAGTCCAAAGATAATTTTTCACTTTGATGAAAAAAAATCAGATAATCTCTATGGAAATCTCCTCAAAATATTAGATATATTATTTGGAAACTGGTCATTAAGCACATTGTTTGAAATAGGGTAGGGTGATAAGCAATACGGGACACAGTAAATTCATAAAACTCATGCTTTCTGCACTTTGTGAACTGGATCTGAAGATTAATCCAAAAGAAAGTGTGCTGAAATATTTGTGCACCTTATGAATAACTATAATAACTATAATAGTGTTCTATGGAGACCACTTTAAAGAATAATGTTCACTAGAGTAAATGGGTTTTAATCTGCTTATAAGAATGTAAATCCAATCAATTTATAATCATACCAGATATGATTATGAGGCTATAAGATTGAGAGGCAGGCAAATATATTGAAAAAAAATGTGTCTTTCCTTTTCAATTTAGAAATCATTTTCTTCCATCTTAAAAGGCTAAAGCTGTATTTATGGACTTCTTATATCTAAGGCAATTGCAAATCTTAAAAGTTTAAATGATCCCAAATTTGGCTTCAATATTCAAACTTCAAAGTTCTGTAGATTAGAAATGGCCTCTGAGAAACTCCTGCAAAGTACTATGCTAAATAATATTGCCGGAAGTAGACTACGGATAAGGAGGTGCGGACAGAAGATTCAAAAATCATGATGTTCAAATGGATTCGATATCGCTCATCTAAGGATATCGTTAGGTATCCTTTCTAAATTCCGTAATAATTACTTCTATCTCTTTCAACAAAGTAATGAGGAATGGAATTGGGAAGAACAGAAGGCCATTCTGAGCACCATATGCTTGGTGACTGCATGGGTGTCCTTTCTTTGGATGGCTGTTCAGCCTCAACACTTGAAACACTCACTCAAACTTGAAAGCAATTACCATGGTATTTCTGAACTTTAAATTCCTAGTAGGCTTTAGATTATATCCAGCACATCTATTTCTTAGTACAACGACATGATGTACTTCTGAATTTACATGCATTTAATTAGGTGCAAAGTGAGAGATCACATTAATGTGTAGGCTCCCTGTGGCAGAAGAGTAAGTGTGTGAAAGAGTTCAAAAATAAATTTTCTATTAGCTGAGAAAGTGGGAGTCTCTCTCACCTACATGAATCAGTGCCAGGCTTATGAGGAAGGATTGTATCCTAGTGAGTAGAGAGATCCTGAGAACAGAGTCGTTCTGGTTTATCTTCCAAGTTCTAGGCAAGATCCCTAAAGGAACATAACTCTGCAATGTTGTGCCTACTCTGTTACTAGGCTACAGCACATAGTGGAGCACCTCAGAAAATGTGTGGTCTTCCTTTGCCTTTTATAATATGCCTGTGTAGAAAGGGATGAGAAGCCCTGAAGCATAATTGAAAGACTACAGACAAGTTTTGAGTTCTATCCTTGCCAATATAGTCTTGTGTCTGTTACTAAACATCTACAGACCTCAGCATCTTCATTGACAAATGGTGATGTTAATCCTTACCTCATGCCTGTGTAAGTGAGCATTAAATGACACAGTAGATGCCGTATCTGTCTGAGAGCCAGATGTGCATCATATCACCACTTTTTCAAGTTCTTTGTCTGGAAAACTTTTCTTTAGTTTTTGTACATGTGCATGCCTCCAGTCAAATTTATCCTCCATGATGACATCTTTGTTTCCACAAAGTCTCAGGGGTTTTCTCTCGGGAGAGCAATGAATAGTCTCCTCACAGCATTGTCAAGATTTATTTTATTTGAGTTACTTATTCTTATAGCCATCTTCCTTTCTGGGCTGTTAAATCCTTGTCATGCAGCCAATTTCCTCCTCCTTCTAATCACACCCACTGCCAGTCCCCAGTAACTTCTCCATTCGGTCAAAGTTCTTTCTTGGTGAAATGAGGAGGATGGAAATTTGCATATAATAGAGGCACAAGCTAGCTCCTGACAAATTAATTTACATTTCCTTTGCTTGCTTTCTTCCTCTTTGTATTTTTCAGCTCAGATCTTCAGTCCTTCTTACCTTTTTCGGAATTTGCTCTCTGGATACATCCAGTGCATTTGTCAGTGAAATTATTGTTCTGTCTCCAGTCAACTTCTGACCTATCAAAAATCAGCTGGTGCATGTTCCTATTTACATTAATCAAACATATGATGTTTTATATTACTTACCAGAAGAGGAAAAATTATAATGCACTTAATAAAATTAGTGGGGGAGGATCTATTCATTATCAGAAAATGAGAGACACACATCTGCCACCTGTGTCATCTTCCTCTGAACTGCCCTTCAGCTTATAGGAAAGTCATTTCCACTAGATTTGGCATATGAATGGAACCAGATTGTGAACCCCTTGCCCTTCTCGTTTTTTGTTTTATTTTGAGACAGTCTCTCTCTGTCACTCACCCAGGCTGGAGTGCAGTGGCACGATCTCAGCTCACTGCAACATTTGCCGTTCAGGTTCAAGCAATTCTCCTGCCTCAGCCTACCAAGTAGCTGAGATTACAGGCACCTGCCACCATGCCCGGCTAATTTTTGTATTTTTAGTAGAGATGGGGTTTCATCATATTGGTCAGGCTAGTCTTGAACTCCTCAGCTCATGACCCACCTGCTTCGGCCTCCCAAAGTGCTGGGATTACAGGTGTGATCGCTCATCTAAGGATATTGTTAGGTATACTTTCTAAATTCCATAATAATTACTTCTGCCTCTTTCAACAAAGTAATGAGGAATGGAATTGGGAAGAACTACACCTGGTCTCATGTTCTTTATAGTATTATTTTTCCTGGGGAATAGGAGTTGGGCATGGCAGGACCGTGATCAAAAAGAAATGGCATCATCAGAAAATCCGCAGTTTTGAGAGAACTACAATAGTTTCAATATTTAGTTTGATATTTTCTCATTAGCTGTTGTTTCAGTACAACCATGGGTTTAGATGGCACAATAAACTTTGTCTCGGTGATTTTCCACACCCCGTGTTTTCTTAGTGTCTTTCCATCCCACACCCTCATTCTCTAATTGGAACACCTTCCAGTTTTCAATTTCCAGCTCCTGGTAGACCTCACTAGCAAGCCCACAATTAGGAAAGTAGCAAAAGAAAACAAAACCTGAACTGATGTCTGAACCTAACTGTATTCATTCGTTTTCACCCTGCTGATAAAGACATACCCAAAACTGGGAACAAAAAGAGGTTTAATTGAACTTACAGTTCCACATGGCTGGGGAGGCCTCAGAATCACTGCAGGAGGCAACAGGCACTTCTTACATGGCAGCAGCAAGAGAAAAATGAGGAAGAAGCAAAAGCGGGAACCCCTGATAAACCCATCAGATCTCCTGAGACTTATTAATTGTCACAAGACTAGCATGGGAAAGACCAGCCCCCATGATTCAGTTACCTCCCCCTGGGTCCCTCCTCCAACACATGGGAATTCTGGGAGATACAATTCAAGTTGAGATTTGGGTAGGGACACAGCCAAACCATATCATTAATTTGTTCTAGGAAACATTGAATTTTAAAAGTAGAATTTAGGGAGGAAGGGCAAAGCTGGGTCCAGTAATCATTTGACTGGAATCAAGACACCTGCGTTCAGGATCGCAACACAGTTTCTAGGAAGATAGATGAGGAATCTGTCAAAGTCACCCAATCTGTCTAGATTTTTCTTCTGTAATGTTTAAAATGAGGAGATACACATAAACCATTTCTAAAAAAATCTCTCTCAGCTCAAAGATGTTGTAAGTTTATAAATCACTAAACATCATAACACAATGATGTCATGTGAAGTAGACATTTCAAGGTAAGAGTCTCTTTTTAGCATTCTCAAATCCTTTATCAAGGTGACCATATACTCTGTTTATGTGAGACTAGTTCACACAAGATTCCTACAAAATCTCAACTAATAGTCCTAAGCAAGTATGCAAAGTCATACATGATTTTATGAGTGGACATGTAACACGATACAGGTTGATATTTTAAGTGATATCACTGAAAGAATGTGCTCTGCACATTCAAAGTGCCTGAGAAATGTCTTAAGAGATTTTTTTTCTATTTTATTCTATTTTATAATTTTTTTTTTTTTTTTAAAACAGAGTCTTACTCTGTCATCCAGGCTGGAATGTAGTGGCACAATCTCGGCTCACTGCAAGCTCTGCCTTTTGGGTTCACACCATTCGGATTCACACCATTCTCCTGCCTCAACCTCCCGAGTAGCTGGGACTACAGGCGCCCACCACCATGCCTGGCTAATTTTTTGTATTTTTAGTAGAGATGGGGTTTCACCGTGTTAGCCAGGATGGTCTCGATCTCCTGATCTTGTGATCCGCCCATCTTGGCCTCTAATTTTATGTTCTTATATAACCAAGATCTTGGTGAATGGTACAAGGGAGCAAAGTAAAAATATTAACAGACTTAAAAATCCAAATCCCTGTAGTTTATTCCATATTTGTTCAGTGCCACCAGTTTTGTTTGATTGTTTGTTTGCTTGTTTTTTAGAAGTGGGAAGTGCAGTCTTTATTGTTATTTTTTTTAATTATACTTTAAGTTCTGGGATAAATGTGCAGAGCTTGCAGGTTTGTTACATAGGTATACACGTGCCATGGTGGCTTGTTGCACCCATCAACCTGTCATCTTTATTGGGTATTTCTCCTCATGCTATCCCTCCCCTAGCCCCCCATCCCCTGACAGGGCCCAGAGTGTGATGTTCTCCTCCCCGTGTCCATGTGTTCTCATTGTTCAACTCCCACTTATGAGTGAGAATATGCAGTGTTTGGTTTTCTGTTGCTCTGTTAGTTTGCTGAAAATGATGGTTTCCAGCTTCATCCATGTCCCTGCAAAGAACACGAACTCATCCTTTTTCATGGCTGCATAGTATTCCATGGTGTATATGTGCCACATTTTCTTTATCCAGTCTATCACTGATGGACATTTGAGTTGGTTCCAAGTTTCTGCTATTGTGAATAGTGTTGCAATAAACACATGTGTGGATGTGTCTTTATAGTATCATGATTTATAATCCTTTGGGCATATACCCAGTAATGGGGTTGCTGGGTCAAATGGGATTTGTGGTTCTAGATCCTTAAGGAATTGCTACAGTGTCTTCCACAATGGTTGAACTAATTTATACCCCCACCAACAGTGTGAAAGTGTTCCTATTTCTCCACATCCTCTCCAGCATCTGTTGTTTCCTGACTTTTTAATGATCACCATTCTAACTGGTGTGAGACGGTATCCCATTTGGTTTTGATTTGCATTTCTCTTATGATCAGCGATGATGAGCTTTTTTTCATGTTTGTTGGTTGCATAAATGTCTTCCTTGAGAAGTATCTGAGATTTTTTTAAATTAGAGAATGTCCTTGAATTATTTTCTATCTGCAAATTTGTAATCAAAATTTGGTATACTTTGTAAATCACAGTAAAATATTGTTGTTTTTCATTCTAATTAAAATGTACACTTTATCAACTCATTATTTGGAAATGGTAATGAAGTACTTAAATTAAAATCAAATCATTCACCTGTGGCACATGCTACCATGAAGTGTGAAGTAGACTTTTTCTAGCCTGATTGTCACTTTGCATCATACACAGCTTAGGGAAAATACAGCCCTATCTAGTGTTATGAATTTTCAAGGTCCTCTTCAAAATGTAAGTTTTTATTTTACTTTAAGATTTTGTTTATGTTCTAAACTTTCTGTGCTTATTCAAATCTGCAAACTGTGTAGAAGTATAATTTTGATTAATTTTTAAAGAGCTAGTAGTTTTATTTGAAGAAAAAAAGGACAGGAAAGGAGAATTCCAATTAAACCTGTTTGCACATAGGGTTAATTTATATTTTCTTTGCTTATTTATTTAACTATTTTATACGGTTTTTTGAAGTACAGGATGGGAGAGAACAGCATGCAGATTGTGGTCACTTTATGAAAATCAACCGGCCGGGCGCAGTGGCTCAAGCCTGTAATCCCAGCACTTTGGGAGGCCGAGACGGGCGGATCACGAGGTCAGGAGATCGAGACCATCCTGGCTAACACGGTGAAACTCTGTCTCTACTAAAAAAAACAAAAAAACAAAAAACAAAACAAAACTAGCTGGCCGAGGTGGCAGGCGCTGTAGTCCCAGCTACTCCGGAGGCTGAGGCAGGAGAATGGCCTAAACCCGGGAGGCGGAGCTTACAGTGAGCTGAGATCCGGCCACTGCACTCCAGCCTGGGCGACAGAGCGAGACTCCGTCTCAAAAAAAAAAAAAAAAAAAAAAAGAAAAGAAAATCAACCGTATTCAACTGAAAATCTACACACTTCTGAATGTGGAGTCTTCCCCCAAAGCCTTGTGTTGGCAGCTGGAAGTGACAGTCTATTTTCTGTTATAGTGACAGCTTGAGTGGAGATGGCTTTACTTTAAGAAGCCTATTTTCCTGATTTAAAGAAAACTTGCCTTTGGCCAAAATCATCTCCAGTGGAGCTCCCTGGGGAAGGGGGGGAGGGAGGGGCTTATTAATCTCAAAGTCGCAATCCAGAGAATCCAACCTGAACTTTTGCCTCAGAAAGCCACGTGTTTCTTCGGCTGCAACTGCAGTCTGATGCTCCACTGAGGCAGAAACCCTAAGCGCTTTCCTTGCCATTGCTGATGGAAGGGGGCAGCTGGGGTTATCCCTTGAATGTTTTATAGCTGACCTACTCTCATCTTACTCTAAAGATACCCCCTGCAAATTTACAGGACATGACATAAGAGAGAGAGAAAAAAGAACACACAGAAAGAAAATCCTCAACTGTTTAAAAATGATCCACTGATTAGATGAAAATTTCATTAATTCTTCTACCAGAATCTAAAATCTAAAACCTAAAATCACTTCAAAAGTTAAAAAAAAGAAAAATATTCAAGATTTGAAATACATGGACTTAAGAGTGCTGAGAAGAAGATGAAAGAAAGAAGAAAAGAGTGAATATGAGAAGGAAGGCTTTGAGTCATATAATATATAAACAGAGGATTGGGAAAAATAGTTGTCATTCATGGAAAGCATGGGTCAGGATAGAGAACAGGCTTTTCGCCGAGATCCACTCAGGGCCCTGAAATGTTCTGGGGCAGCCCTGCACCGTGGTGGGTTGGGTAGGGCATGAGCACCTCCACCTGGTGCAACCAGTGCCTCCTGCACAATCCTCTCCAAACAGTGCTCCCAGCAGACACAGCCTTTGCAATGCAAACCCTTGCTTGTCTCGGACTGAGATGTTCATTGTCAGATGCTCAATACTTTCCTGATTGACCTTCAATTAGTAGTGGCTCCAAACCCTCTAGCTTTCAGTTTCACTTTCCCTTTTACCCCATCCCCTGTGCTCTCTCCATCAAATGGTTAGTGATCTGGAAACAATTAAAGGTACTGGGAGACTGGATGTTATTAAGGGGCACTTTGCCAAACGGACTTTTAAAAGACTATAGTTACTTTCTGACA